GAGGAAGTCGTAGATGACGTATCGTTATCGTTCGATTCCTCGTTACCGAAGGCAGGCCTGTCGTTCTCGGTTACCGCAGGACACTGGTTTGCTGCGTCGTGCTCATTTTTCTCCGAACCGGTGCCCCCAACGTTACTCTTCGTATAGTCAGGTTTCAATTTTTTACAACGGATCGGGGAATTTAGCGAATTAGCCGATATCTTGAGTTCCTTCACCGCTTCTTCTTTCGGTAAGTTTTCTTTGATCACTTCAAACTGTGTTATTTCCAGCTTTGCGGATACGCAGGTTTGATAAGCGTTTGTAGGTCCGTTAGTTTCATGAAATATGGTTTGTTCCGAAACCTGCGACGACACCAGTGTAGAAGAATTTTGTAAATTCTTAGCTAGCTTGGTCATTGCCAGTTTCCCCGAATTCTCATCTTGTTCGGATGTAGGTTTATAGTACGGGGAACACGACTGAAACGCTTCTTCCTTCGCGTCGCCTGTAACAGTCTCGGTCGAATGTTTCGGAGTTAACGCTATACAAGGGGTTGTCGGGAATTCCGGTGTGTTGATAAAACTACGCATTTTACTAGAGTCTTCGTTACTCTTCGCATACGGTGTCACGTTACTGCTTGGGCTGAGTAATCTTGGGGTCGGTGGTACCCCGGAACTTTCCAATTTTCTTGGTGTTTCTAGATCCATCAAATTAGGCATTTGCTGCAACATCTGATGCGTTATGTCCACGGAAACCTTTGTTACCTCCGAACACTGCAAAGTTTCCACGGACATTACGCTGTTTCTGGACAAGCTTCGTTTCTTCTCAGGACTACGTTTCTTCAAATTCGTCTGCAACGTTTTCAACTGCGCATATTTCTTGACGCGTTTCTTCTCGATCGCAGAATCGTCGGCGACAATAGTTTCCGCTTTCGAAACGCCTTGTTTGTTATCGTCGCGTAGCTGCAAACAAGTTTCGTCTGTTGCGTTATGGCGGGTATTTCCCGCGGTATAATCGACAAGCTGCATCGATAAATTGTTTTCCATCGACAAGACGACGGTCGACGTCGATTCTGCCGCTTGTTGGTCGCGCGAAGGTTCTTTCCTCGTGTCGACAGTATCCTTCGATGCGGGGCTTTTCGTCTTCCTTTTGTGCATTCTCGAGCTGCGTTTGTCTCTTTTCGACGCCGCGACACTCTTGTCCCTCGTGTGTTCCGTTTTGTTCGTGTCGGAGGCTTTTGGTGCTTTTCGGCACTCCTCCTCGGTTGTGATCTGCAAAGCCTTCCGCAAATCCGCATCCCAAGCATCTCTATTTATTTTCACCGACTTGAACTGAACCTTGTCCTCCGAGCACGAGGCCACGGTCTGTTTCGTCGACGAGACAACCTTGTCGGCAGCAATCGCGTCGACCCCGTTGCGTTTCTCCCAACTGTCGAGCAGTTTCGGCCCGTGACCCCTCGTCGCTACGGGAAGTTTCGATGGTCGACACAGTTTCAAGGGGCTTTTCAGTTTATGGCTAGTTATCGTGACGTGACTAGGGAACGAGGGCGACTTGAAAAGAGAGGTTCTGCGCACGCATTTCACGTGTTTCACCGACCTCGGCGAGAAATGCGCGCTATCGTCTCCTCCGGTCAATTTATTCGATGTAACGAGCATCTTTGTCGGAGTATTAAAATCGAGTGCTCTCACGTGACTGCTTCTTCTTCTGGGTGTCGATAAGCTTAATCTATGATTTTTCGATCTACTTCTCAGCAAGGTTCTCGGAGTTCGTTTATTAATGACATCGTGCTCGGTTGTTTTCGAAGTAGACGGTTGCTGATCATCGAGAACGGTAGTTTTAGGCGGGGCTACGGAAACCTGTACGCTTTGCGTGGCGGGCGTCAAGTCGATGTCCGATAAACTTTGATTCTGATTAGTTTTATTGCAATTGAATTTGATGTACGGAGACAATCCTGTACCCGACAAACTTACGCTATCCTCCACGCTTATCGTCGGCATACTCGAACTGTCCAACAGCGTTCTTGCACTGTTCTCGTTCCCGTAAAGGGTAATCGATTCTCCACCGATAAACTTATTGGTACTCGATACGATGGGATTCGTACAAGAATTATCGACCGCCATTCCACACGTGTTTTTCCCTTCCAGTCCCTTCTGACAGGCCTGCAGGGTGCTCGTTGCGCAAGAAACGAAATTCTTCGACTCGTTGAAAGTGTTCGGAAGCGGTGCTTGCACTTTCTGAGCGACGTTCACGGTCTTCAAGTATAACGTCTCTACGAAACTTTTGCCGTTCTTAAACGTTGGATCTTTAGGCACGATCGGAACGAAACGAGAATTCTTGGCGGACGTTATGCCGGAACTCGAGACTGGCACATTACTCGTCTCTGGCTTCGAACATACGATTAATACCGGCATCGTCATTATATCTTGTTCGGGTATCGACTCGTTCACTTCTTTACCCTCTGTTTCGCGTTTCGATTTTCCAACTCGCGATCGTTTCACCGACAGTTTTCTCATCTTCGATTCAATGTCGCTGTTATGAACAACCGCAGCTCCGCTGTTGTTGTTGTTGTTGTTGTTGTTGTTGTTGTTGTTGTTGTTGCTGTTGCTGTTGCTGTTGCTGTTGCTGCTGCTGCTGCTGCTGCTGCTGCTGCTGCTGCTGCTGCTGCTGCTGCTGCTGCTGCTGCTGCTGCTGCTGCTGCTGCTGCTGCTGCCCCTCTGATTATCGATACTCGTTGGTTTTACAGTCTGCCTGTCTTTATTCGGAGGCAGTTCAAACACTGGTAGTTTCTTCTCGTGCTCGTTATCCAAACATACACCCTCTTTCGTAAAATCTCCGATTCTCTTGTCGTTCGATGATTTATTATTGATAATGTTTGCATTTATTATACTCAACACCGCAGCGGCATTTTGATCCTCTAAAGCGCTATATTCTTTCTCTTGGTCCCGTTGCTCGTCTTCGACGCGAACGTTTTGTTGCCTCGATGAACTGCGAAGCCTGTGTTTTAATGGTACCTCTACGACATTCGTTTCGTTCAGTGATTTCGCATCTATCGAAATACCAGGCTCCAGCGAGTTCATTTCTACGCTCGAAATCGTTTCGGCTAGTTTTTCTCGAGAATCGTTCAGACTCTTTATTTTCGGCTTAACTTCCATGTCCTCGTCCGGACTTGTGTCGGTTTCCATGTGCGGTCCAATAATTTCGTCGAGAAATTTTTCAAATACTGGATCAGACTCTGTTGCTTCTACTATAGATTTAATCGCGTTATTCAGTTCGATCATGATGGAAGTATTTGCTTCGTTGTTTACAGAGTCGTTTAGGTTCTCATCTTTCAACGACGTATCCGTTGGCAATATAGCCTTATTGATATTCTCGGCAATACGTTCTTGTAACTCGGTGCGATTTAACAGCTCTTTCGTCAGTAACTTGGGACAGTAATGAATTATTCGGTTAACGGAAACATATCAATTTCAAATGATTTACTCTCCCCGTATACTTACACTGAGATTCTCTATGGGTTCATCGTTGGTTTCGGATTCGGATTCAGGTGTATCGTACGACGTGGTCTGAACTTCAGCGCACGAGTAACTCAATAATTCTTCCGTGCTTGTAGCCGTGCTGCATTTTTTAAAGGGACAAGAATTCTTTGCGTTACCTTCCTTAGATGTATCGTCGGCAACAGCAACTATCCCTAAATTTTTATTATCCTGATCATCACCTGACCGATTAAATAATCAATCGATGTATTCTTAGAATCTTAATCACGATTCCTACTACTGAACCACGTTCATACTTTGAATTCGAATTGAACCAACCTTGATGCTTTTGCCGATGCACGTTACATTTTGTCTCCTTTGCATTGGTATCGCAATTCGATTGACACGACGAATGTGCATTTCCTGGTAAACTTTCCAATGGTGTTGCCTCTATACTGTCGAAACCTACCATTACAGAAGGTAATAATCTTTATAGAATTCCAACTCCCGATTTGCCGAAAGAAAGATAAATTTAACAATTTAACCTGTGGAAACTGGACATTCCGATTGTTGAGAAACATTCGATCCTATTTTTGTACGTTTACAACGTTCGCGATCACTGTTACTATGACGTCTTTTGCGAGCGTTACCGGATATTATTGGAGACCCGTTACACATTTGAGCGTTAGTCTGTAAAAATTCAAACGTTACGTACGTCGCTGTGTGTCTATTATTATCGCAACAAATAATTATAATCCATTTACCTGTGAAGGAACATTAATATTAACCACAAACCGTTGACCTCGTGTTTCCTCGACTAAAAACTTTAATTGTTCCAACGAATCCCCGCAATGTCTCATTTGTTCGCAATCTGCGATTCTGCTGAGACGCTCTTGAACTATGTAAACATAAGAATCTTTTTAATTTTCGTCTTCTCGAATAGCGAACAAAACGAAAAACTGTGCAAGTGGGTTTGTAATTGTTAGAGTAACACTTAAACTCGACCTACTTACTCGCTGCATTGATTGCAAAAAATTTTTCTATGACATCTATCAAGGTCATTCCACCTACTCTTGTACTGAATCGTTTCCCTTTAGACATTACGGTGCGACATTCTTGTAGCTGCGGCGATGTTTCTAGAAATAATTTAGCTGCTTCTATACATTTTTGATCCTCGAGATATCCTGGAATTGTTTGAATTTTTAATACTGGACATAAGAATCGGACAAAAATTTGTAATAATCAATTAATATTCTCTATTATAAATTGCATACATTATAATAATCTATGCATGTCCTAGATATAAAATGAAATTTATTAAATTCAACTGCATTTTGCACTTGCTAACTCTGTAGATCAGATATTATTAAATATATTATTAAATGTATTATTACGCAAAATGTATATTACCATATTAGAATTATAATACGCTATATAAACATTTATATTATCTCAAAGTTGTCGAGTTTGTCCAAATAAATTATACGAATTTGATATGCTCGAAAAATGTTTACGTTCCCGCCACAAAACAGGTTATCGCGACAAGACGCTTGAAGCATTGTTGTATAAAGTTCTCTTACCAAGAACAAGTCGTGCTACTTCTGACGGTAATAATGTTTCCATATTGTCTCACTGTAAAGTTTAATATCATTACCAAATAACAGGGAAAATTCTGAACTGTAAAAAAAAATAGTTGCTTTCAAAAATATTATGACAGAAATCTTGAACGATCTTGAACGAGTATGCCTTCTATAAAGCAATTTTACCAACATTCTAACTTCTTCGTTTTAGTGATTCTCACCGTACGATGGGTACATCATCTCGCGAAACGTAAATTACAGTTACGCGTATATCATACATTTTCGGATTTTGTGTTTCGTCGCTAATTTTCCAAATCAACAGAAAAATTTCTTTCCCATCTAAAAACAAAAAGCTTTTCGACAGACTGTTACAGACGGATATACTTACTTTGGTTAGTATTAGAATCCGATTGTATTCACTTTTACCTTCAAACCTTGATACGCGACTGTTTATATGCAATATTACGTACTTTAGGAAATAATTCTTTTAGATATGCCTTAGAAAATCATAAATAACGTATTCTTGGTAACTGGCAATGATAAATGAGAAACGGAAATTATTATTGTACGATAACATTCTGTTCACAGATTTGTAAACAATGGGAAACTGGCAAATGGAGGTGATGAGAATGTTTTTATATGTTTCATTTCCAGTAGGAGTCTTCCATTACACAAATTATGATGAAGATATGTATGATTGGATAAGTAAGAAACGAGATGAATCTCTGCCTTACAATAAAGAGCAACATAAAGAAGTTTTGCAACTTATACAAACTATCAACGATAGAAATCAAATGGAACACCTTAAGGAAATGGAAGAGCAATATCGAAAAACGGAAGTGAAAAAAACTTCGTAACTTGATATTCTATATGTTAGTGATCCATAAATGTCAAATAAAATGTTCTGAATAAGTGAATATTTCTAAATACCCGTGACTACAATTGCATTGACAACGATTATCGTACAGCAACTGAAGCACAGGCATCTCACGCAATGGAATACTCTGTTGCAGCTAACGTTAGAAAATCTCGGTAGATTTTCAACGGGAACTTGATAGAAACTTGATAGACCTTTTAATAGAAACAGAGTATCCTATGCGTACATTTCATCCGTACTACGAGTATTTCATCTGCAATTCCGTAACGTCTACTCTTTTTCGAGAAATCATTTCTGGTACAAACGAATATCTGCTACACGATTTATATTACGTTGATTGGGTGTGTACATATATAGATGTATAGAAACACAAGTAGGTACTTACAGAGCTTCACGATAGCGAAAGCGCATGCGTGTGTATTGTTATGCAAAGTTTTGTGCCTATGTTCATGGATCAAATTTTCTGCGAATCGGACGCATTTGAATTCCGAAGTTTTGAAACTATGTTCATGTGGCAGAATTTCTTTACGCATGCGCATTGAAAATTGACTCCTGAAACATGCCGAAGTTCCCTGTGCTATATAGTACATGAGTACACAAATGTATATCATTTTTTTATCGTGTTAAAAGCTGTATTGTTTCTCACATTCAAAACCAATAACTAATTTCTATGAGAAAATAAAAAAGTATACCATATTACCGATATGACTCAAGTTCGATACACACGCAATTTATTTTTACGAGGAATGTGTATCATATACCTCTTCGCATTCCTTAGTTTTTATATACAAATTGCAGGTAACATTTCAAGATTTTTACTACTGGTATTTCATCCTTTATTTTTTCACTATAGTCAAATAAACGGATATTTTAGTTATATTGAACTGAAATTTATTGTAACTTTTACATTTCTATATTCTTAAATTCAACATTTTCCATCCATGGTACATTGAAATCCTTAAATTTACTATTATGATTCATAATTGATTATAATAACATTTATTAATATTTATACGCAAAGGACTGTACGGCGATAATGGGATATTACCCGTTAAAACTCAGTTAGATATCGAATACCAAGCTCCTCTGTTGCATAAATTAAAACAGAATCCAACATTATTATGGTTTGCCCCTTATTTTGGATTGAATCTAGAGTACATGTTGGATGTATTGTCTCTTTTCGGAGTTGTTCTTTCATTCGCAGGGTAAGAGGAAATAGATGTTACTTTTATTTGGTACAATATTTAAAAGATAATAATAATTATATTTCCATATAGGTTTGTTTCACAGAGGTTTTGTACTACATTAGTGTTTGCATTACTTTGGTCATTATATTATTCTTTATACCTCGTTGGACAAATATTTATGTCGTTTCAATGGCAAGTATATAATATCCGATATAATATTTTTAGTTAATCGTTTGCTCATATTTCTATAATCTACCATCGCTAGGAAACTTTTAATGTATCTATTCTGTAGTTATTGAACAATTTCTTATACTCGTATGGCTCACATTTCCATGAAATTTTCAGGGATGCCCTTCTCTTGGAAGCAGGATTTCTATGTATAATTGTAGCTCCGTTCTGGTATTCTCAGCGTGGAAAAATAAACACACCTAGCGATGCTGTAACCTTTTGGAGTATACGTTGGTTACTTTTTCGTCTTGTGTTTTCCAATGGTGTAGTAAAACTTGCTTCTGGTAATTCACTATGGTGGAAATTAGATGGTAAGTTTTACCATATAGATATATCTCTAAATTATGAAAATGCGAATGTAAAAATATGTCTTTGCCTATGTTTCAGCTCTGAGCAAACATTTTGAGTCACAGTGCATACCGACTCCTATAGCATGGTACGCGCACCATTTACCAACATGGTTTTTACGCTTAACCACAGTGTTTGTGAATGTTTTTGAACTGGTTGTTCCATTTCTGTTTTTCTTCCCAAACAGAAAAGTGAGGATAGTAGCTTTCTACACACAGGTAAATATAATTGAAGAATTTTCTGTTTGCTTGTTTTGTGTTACGAACGTATCACTGGAGAACTAATTGTTTTTGTTTCAGATATTTCTTCAAATACATATTATAGCAACAGGAAACAATAATTTTTTCAATTTCCTTGTGATTTGTCTATGCATTTCTTTGTTGGACGATCAGTTTTTTTACAAGAAAAAATCCAGAAATGATTCTTATAGTTTCTCCAAATATCTCTCTACAATAGTATGTATTTTAGTTTATACAGGTATATTGTACGGAATGTATGTGTATTATAATCTTAGAATTGATAATTGGACGATACAGAGCAACATCGGTACGTATGTATATCAATTATTATCTTATTGTATTTAGACTAATTATCCTAATAATAATTTTAATGTATCGTTTTTAGCGTTTACACAAGAACAGTTTAATTATGTTTTATCACGTGCGATTCCGATATCTATCTACATTGGTGTAGCATCGCTTGGTTTCACAATAGCGGATGCAATAGTGAATTCTTTAATAACGGTTAAAGGTGTACAAAACAAAGTAGTCACTATTTTCGTTACGGGTCTGTACACGGTAGCGGTGTGTTTCATCTTTGCAATAAGTATTGTAAGTGTTTCAAATGAATAGAGTCTCATTCACAAGTCATTTGCACGTGATCTGGCGAACAAATGAAACTCGTTCTCACGATGGCAACAACAAAGATGTCGTTTGTTTAGGTACCATATACTACATTAGACGAGTCCCATAATTCGACGGTACCAACTCAATTGAAGCAGATTCAAGGAAAAGTCGAACACCTTCGGTTGGTAAATAATTATGGATTATTGAAGCATACAACCGGATTGGATGGTAGACCAGAGGTGATAATCGAAGGAAGCGATAATATTGATGGACCATGGAAAGAGTATGAATTTTTATATAAACCAGGGAATGTTAATAATTCTTTGCCGTTTGTCGGTGAGTCGCTAATCAAATTATTGTTTTAATTCTGTAATAGCTTCTGTATATTATTCGTTTTCACCTAATAACCTTTACACGCGTATGTATATATATATAAATAAATGAAGTAATAAATAAATTTGTTAATACGTCGTGCCTCTAATGTGCCTTTCCTTTAATGATAACAACTGATTCTAATTTTCAGCTCCCTATCAGCCGCATCTCGATTGGCAAATGTGGTATGCTGCGTGGGTCACGTATAGCCGCAATTCATGGCTACTCTCATTTATCTATCGTCTTTTAAATGGTCAACCAGAAGTACTAGCTTTGATGAATAGTATAGGAAGTCCGTTTCGCGAAAAACCGCCACAATACATTAAAGCTAGTTTCTATTATTATCATTACACCCCGTGGAATCAGTCGTGAGTATTTTTATAAGATACATAGATTTCGAATAATTAAGAAATACAGCCGATTACGATTACGACTTCAATTTCGATGTTTGTTAGGTCAAACAAACAAGCTTGGTGGACGAGAAAGAAAGTCAAGGAATATCTTCCGATATTGAGTCGCGATAATCCGCGACTTATCAAATATTTATCAATGATGAAAATCATACCGGACAAATCAACTTTCAAAGTCACGAATGAACCACTGAAACTGCTTCTCGACAGTATAAGATCTATAGTTTATAAAATCGAGGCTAGTCTTCTTTTATGGGGTATTTACACTGCAGGTTGTGCGATTATCTTGACTAGCTACGGCAATTCAACTTTAAAGAGGAAATAATTACATTTGAATAGTCAGTCGAATGTTCAAGTAACAAGTAATAACTAACGATAAATTCTAAATGAGCACGGTGCCGATCGTACGAAGCTTTTTCGAAATTATGTGTACGATTTACTTCTACAAATATACAATACCCTATGCTTATGTTTCCGTATTTATTGCAATTAATAATACTATTGCGAGATTATTTAGTATAATATGTAAAAATAGATTACATTTCTTACATACTAACAACCACAGCAATAAGATGTTTGAATTAAACTCAAGAGGCTACATCTTCCTGTGTCTATCGAATTTCAATTGTTTATATTTTATATTTTCCTGATTTTTATACAAATGATAGAACTTGTGAGCTATAGTGTTACATACATCTGTTAATATTAATATGATTATATATAATATTATGATATCGTATTGAAATTCAATGCATAACTGATGAACAGAAATCTCTTTAGATATTTCACTTGTACTTATATAATTAAAAAAATGTCCAAACGATTCCGAATCAAGTTATTTCCCTAAGGAGTCTTGTCGTGCTACTGTTGTTTTATATTTTTCTGCTGTTTTTATCGTATGATCGAAATTTTCCTATTTTATACGGTTTTAATATTGTTGGTGTTTCAGTGGCTTTTCTTTTTGATGTAACGTCATCGTATGAAAAAGTATCCATAACATAAACTTTGGGTAACGTGGTTTTCGATAAACCAATCGGGTACCTAAATAACTGCTCTAAACGTGTTATCAATATATTCAATGATCGCTGACATCCCTTCGATATCATACAAAATTCACGTGGATCATTGCATTCTTTGTTTAACTGTTTTAAATATATCAAATGTTTGAAACCGAGTAAAGTGGCATGTGCCGTTTCGATCACAGACGAATACTGAATTTTAGATGTATCTACAGTGGAATTAGGTGTAAACTCTTGTATTTTTTCAAACACATTAAACAGAGTGTTGTTTTTTGTCGTGAAATCGCGAAATTTTTCACAATTCTCGCTTTGTAACGTTGAGTAATTTACGCGATCGCCAAGGTTGCTTTGTACCAAAGAAATATCAGAACAAGTATTGGAGGGTACAATCGATACTTCCTTTGACTCGTTATGTACCAATTTCTTTCTATTGTCACTGTTCCCATTGTTATGTGGATCTAAAGACATTCCACATGGAAATGCATTAGAGTTTTTCATGTTCCGTGTATAGTGTTTATCCTTACAGCAGGTATCCATTATAAACAATCGAGCAAGTTTTTCAAACTGTAATTCTTGTTCGTTACCGCCGATATGAGAAATCATAAAGTCTGGAGTGTTAAAGACTGCTGTTTTCTCAACTAAGAAAGCATTCTTTGTGTTCATGTGATAATCGATACATTGTGTTTTATTCGGGTATTTCAATTTTACCTGTGATTCAAATGATTCTGATAATACATCACCAGTACCTTTTTTTACAATGTGATTTACTCCGAACATAAGTGAGCTACATTTATCTATTACCGCATGTTGCCTTTTCTTGTCATCCCTTACATTTATATATTCCTTCAATGAATAGAAAAGTTGTTTGTGTCTGTCATCTAATTTTGAATTGTTAATTTCATCAGGCATATGAAATTTAACATTTAATACCCGTAAAATATCGTATAATTCTTTTGCACTGAACTTTGGTTCATCCGTTTTGTAAAGTTTTTGTCTGTGGTTGAACGATCTTTCTATTGTTTGTTCTTTATGGAAATACTCAATTAATTCTTTATCGATATCATTATTGCAACTGCTATTGGACACATCTTTATTAAGGTTGAACTGAATTTGATCAGATTTTTCGTTTTTCTTTTCTTGCTCTGCTTCTTTATTCTTACGCTTCGAGTAGTCTGTATGTAAGTCAAAAACAGATATACCTTTACTAAGATATTTTTGTAAAGCAGCATGTCGATGTCTCAATCGGGTTCTTGTTTTACATGTAAATGCTTTAGATATTTTAGACCAATTTGGACCAAAGCATTCAAAAAGTTCCAACAATTTTGAATCTTCTGCTAGTGACCATACATTCCAGTTTTCAATTTGGTTGCTAGTCAAGGTTTGATAACGGTCATGAAGTTGAACCGTTGACCTATTAGGCATCAGTGCAGCTGATATTTTACGAAAATTTGTACCATACTTAGTAACAGCATCTTTTAGAAGATTATCTTCGGATTTACTAAATCTGCCTTTGGTTAAATACGGTGTCAAGCTATAAGTCCATCGAAAATATGCTTGCTGTTTAGTTCTATTCGGCATCCAACTGGCTACTTCACCCCATGGAATAAAGTTACCGATCTGAAATATTTTTACTAATTTTAAGAGTCTGTCATCCTCTCTATGTTCCCAAATGCAATTTCTGATTTTAGGCAACTTTCTTATTGTATTGTATCTGATGAAACATTGGTAAGCACTACGATTTGTATTTAATTCTTCTGCAATATTATCCCAGTTTTGAAACTTGTGCTGTTTTGTGATTTCTTTTAATTTGACATCTTCCGATTTTGACCAACAACTTTTATTGATTTCTGGATGAAGAAACACATTCCACATTACTCTGCAATCGAGCGGCGAATGTACATCCTCGAAATAAATAGATGATATTTTAAACCAATCGAAGTCTCTATCTTGTAATGAGCTAGCCACTTCGACAGAGTCGTTGGCCGAAGATCTTCTTCCTGTTTTTGTTTCTTTATTGATTTTCCATGTAGATTTACATGTCGATTCGAACCTGATATGTTCAATTTTTATAGAGCTCGCAGTAGCCTCTTCTTGTACCGCTTTAAGCAATGTGTTCCTTTCTTTTATGGTCCATGGTATTACTTTAGGAAGATTTCTAAGATGTAATTCTTTATAATTTTCCTTTAATATTTCATCGTCATTGTTAGGAGCAGAAAAATAATACCTGTCCTTAAAGTAAGGCATGCCAGCATTGCAAATTAAAGCCTTTGTGTCTCCAGTTGTATGCTTTTGAAGGTTCGTTTCTATTATCGTCAATTTTTTTTCACATTTTTGAAGAGCATAGGTTATGTGTTTTTTTACATCGATCAAAAAAGAAATGATCTGCTTGTTGAAATTTAGTAAACTGTTACAATCGTCAATATTGCACTCCAAAGACACATTTTCTTCTTGATATTTAGATTTTCTTTGTAACGTGGGATCTTTAGTAAACACTTCCGACGTACAGACCGATCCATCTTTTACTGTAGGAATATATGGACAATCGTGTTCATTATTTAATTCAGAAGACGTATTTTCTAGCAATACTATCTCGTTTAAATCATCATCACCCGTTAGTTTATCCATAATTGACTGAAGATGGATTCCTTTTGAAAAACAAGCACACAAGCGTCACCTATACACAGTACGTATGTACAGTTACTATATAAGTAAATAAGTAAACGAGCACGTATTACCTTACATTAAACGTGAAAACTTACATTCTATGGTCAAATTTACAGAAAAATCGAAGCAACTAAATAAATAATGTAGAAATTAATTTGGAAATTAAACGTTGGAATACCGCGAGGCACGAGATGATAACGGTAATACAAATAAAAAGGGCGGAAAGGAAAGAACCGTGTATTTACCCAAGTAGGTATGGTTAACGTATAAAATTATAGAACTGTAAAATAGAGTGTATATGTCAAATATATAAATACAACATAATATATGGATAAAAAATTCGAATTCTTGAAAGATCACAACAAGTTGAACAATCACCTGATGGAGTCAATTTTGTAGAGAACTATGCATATCGCGATATATCGAATATCATCGTAATGTTGAACAATTTGTAAAGTACTTTGGAAAGTGTCATAAAATACGATCATAAAATGAATATTTAGTTGTAATAATGAGGCGTGGAATATGGGTATTTCGATGAACAGCATAAATATCAATTGAAATTGGGAAAGAAAAATTAATAAGTGAATTTTGACGTTTGAACGGAAATTGTACACATATGTTTCCGCCGTAACATTTGCGGAATGGTACATGCGCAGTTTGTACGGCCTGAATATGTCGGCTGGGTGAAGTATGCTAAATGTTATCATGATCAAAAGTATTTCCTTTGGTTAAGTGTCTCGGTATTAAGTTGTTGCGAAAATTGTTGCAATTTTTCAAAGCTGGATCACAAAGGTACAATTCATATGATTGCTACAAGAATTTGAATGTACAATATTGTTCGTTCGGAAATTAAGTAGTAGAAGAGGCCTTATGTCAAGACGGTTCGGTATCGAGAGAACCGACGACGTATGCCAATATGAAGAAACTTTTTTCAAAAATAGACAACACATCGAAAGAACCAAACAGTTATTTAGGAAAAGTCTTTGTGGTAGGACGTTACACGGTAACTGTCGAGGATGTTTTAGCGGAAGGTATGTACGCGTTTTCTTTTTTCAACCTTGAATGTTCATCATTAGTCTTGCATTACACTCTTACGTTCAATCAGCTTTCTTTCCTGTTAACACGTGCCCCTTTTTCAAATATTTATATATATATATATATATATATATATAATATATACATATTTATTTATATAAATATTAATTTGAAAAATAAGTTGAACCTACCTGTTCTAATACTCGTTGACTGACAGGTTAATTAAATCAAACGGAGTATTTAAATGCTTCTTTTTTTTCCATTCTTACATATTATGCATGCATACATGTATGTATACATGCATATATATATATACACACACATACATAGATACATACATATAATACCTACACGCACAATACGTATAGTATATATACATATATATATCTATATATATTGGGGCATGTGCTGCGCGCGCGCGCTCGCGTGTCGGTGTGTGTATAAAATCATATGTCGCGCGTGCACATGTGTGGGCGCACACATTCGCAGGAAAATATTTTATTATTGACATAGTAATGTGATATGTAATGATAATTAAATAAGATAAAAACATGCATTTAGTTTATTTTCAAATTATACTATACATAGGACAAATATTACAAGTATATGTGAAAAACAGGAATTGAAAAATTATAAATACAATTAACAGATTGATTATAAAAAGTACATTTGCATAGTGCAATGTAAATATTTAACCAACATCAGTGTATGCTGTTTATAATTTATTACTCGTCCATTATAGGAGGATTTGCTATTGTATTTCTGGTTAAATCTTCGAGTGGACGTTACGCTCTTAAGCGTATGTATGTTAACAATGAACAAGATCTCAATGTTTGCAAGAGAGAGATACAAATTGCTGTAAGCTATATATTATTACATATATTATCCTTGTTTATTCGAACATATTGAATTGATTCCATTCATTTTTATTTAATCGAATAAATTGTTTTTACAACATTCATGTAGACTGTTTCATTCGCAGAGTAATTTAAATGGTCATAAAAACATCATAGGATATGTGGATAGCAGTATAACTCACATAGGTGGCGGAGTACATGAACTTTTGCTGTTAATGCCTTATTGCAAGTCTCAAGTTCTGCAAATGATGAATAACAGGTAAATGGTAATTAAAGTAAATTTAAAGGAACATGCAAAGTCTAAGAAGAATTTTGAAAGTTTTGCTTGAATCTCTACAGGTTACAAACGGGTTTTACCGAGTCCGAAGTTTTACAAATATTCTGTGATGTTTGTGAAGCAGTCTCTAGATTACATCATTGTCAAACTCCAATAATACATAGAGATCTGAAGGTTTGTCTTTCTCAATATTTTTTGCTAATTCTACGAACGAAAGCTCGGCGATGTTTTTTATTAGTTTACCCGGGATTATACTCATTAGGTGGAAAATATATTGTATTCTGATGGTGGTCATTACGTTTTATGCGACTTTGGTTCGGCAACAGCGAAAGTTCTTAACCCCAGTGTCCAGGGTGCCACTGTGGTTGAAGAAGAGATTAAGAAGTATACAACTCTTAGTTATAGAGCACCAGAAATGGTTGATATGTACTCTGGAAAATCAATTACAACCAAAGCAGACATATGGGTATGAGAAAGTGTGATAAATCTCTGACATGTAAAATTTCCGCGCGGAATGGGTCAAGAAATATATTCATGATTCTAGGCGTTGGGATGTTTGTTGTATAAACTGTGTTTCTTTGCATTGCCATTTGGAGAAAGTATGCTTGCTATACAGTCAGGAAATTTCACTATACCTGACAATTCTCGGTTTGTATTTCGCATGTATCTATAATAATATTCATACGATTATAATTATTATTGCTACTATTATTACACGTGCAAATACACGTACGCGCAGACGCGCACCACACACACTTAAAATATATGAACAGAGTTTAATGTTAAACATATTACAGTTTAAGTTTTAGTTTCGTTGGCTTAAAGTACTTTTTAGACGATAATATTCGCTAGAACGACCTTTTAAAGTCTTTAAAGATGTAGATGTATTCATTTGAAAAACTTTTTCTCCAATGATTCAATTATTGTACTATGTTTGGCATTTGACATATTAGACTGTAATAGATTTATTCTACTATCCGGTACAGTAATTCCTCAATAATCTCAATTTTATCGGGTAAACCTTGTAAAGGTATGAGTTTCGTGAAAATATAGTACAGAAAAAGCTGTATGTGTACCGTGTTTTAGAAATCTTTCTATCAGATTTGATTCGGCCGAAAATTTTGGAGATTTTCAGAGGAATGCTAGATACGCATATGTACACACGCACATTCCATACAGACACGCAATAACGTTTCAGAAAACTGTACGTCAGCCCCACAGATTTCGAATGTTAAGTCTATTATTCCTGAATATCAATTTATCAGTGATTCAAGTTTAACAATTTGCCTTCGAAATTCACAGCAGTTCTCTTTATTTCTGATTTACCGATGAAATGTATGAGAAAATTTCATTGAACACCAAACTATTATTGGCTGTTGCTTTAAAGTCTCAGGGGTTGCTTACCAAACTGGTTCTTTGGTAACATAAAATTGATATTTAATCAGAGAAGAACGGTCTCTTTACGATTTCTGAAACGATACTGTGTATGTCGGTACAGTTGGTGATGAGTATGCGTATGCGTACATGTATATGTATATGTATATGTATATGTATATGTATATGTATATGTATATGTATATGATCTGTATACAGATATATACATGTACATATACTTTTATATGTTATAATAGAATTTATTTGTAACACTTTACATGATAAAACTGTTCGAACAACACTCAACTTTATATAGATATAGTAGAAGCCTTCATTGTCTGATTCGTTATATGCTTGAGCCGGATCCTGATAGCCGCCCTGACATTTATCAAGTTTCTGTGATTGCTTTTCAAATCCAGGGCAAGGAATGCCCTGTACAGAATTTACACGTACGTATACGATGTTGGGTGTACGATGCTCACTCGTCGCAGATAATATTGCTGAAATTGATTAATCTCGTCCGATGTTCGTTTACTTTGTTAGAAAGTATCGGCTCCGGTATTGGAATCGTTACCCTGTCCATGCATGGAATCTGAGAATGTAAAAAGATCGTCGCTTGTGAAAACTCCAAAACCGTCTCCCGTAACTACCGTTGAAGGTACTTCGGTTACTCCACGGCAACGTCCAAAGGGACAGGTCGTGTCGAGAGACACTTCGGAGAAAGGGCAATATTACTTTGACTCAAAAACTGTAAGCAACGTAGACGAAGAAAATTTAGAAGCACTTTTTCCACCATCGGGTAAGAAAAAGACGATTATGAACAAAGAATGCGTTGAATTTGTAAAGATGTTGTCGATCCGGCCATCCGACTTTATTATCGTTTATTACTTTTCCCAGGATATCCAGATCCGTTCAAAGACGATAATCGAACTATGCCCCCACCTGCGAAGATACCTCCTCCCGTAGCTCCGAAGCCTGTCAAAGCGCTTTCGAAAGCAGTATCATCCAATATTTCTACTACCACTAGTTGTCCGCCTTCCAAGTTTTCACCTGTTACCACGTTGGCGTCAAAGTTGAGCATTCCGGTGGGAGCCGGTATAGTGACTGCTACACAACCACCTATATCGAAACCAGTGAATAAGATGGAAAGTTTGAGTCAAAATATAAGCTTGAGTAGTTCTCCACCTGACAGCCCAACAACATTATCTTCCGTACGCCACAGGAGAAATGTTAGTGACACAAGTGCTTTCAACAAGTGGGTTATATGTAGAATATTTTTTCACATTCGTTGGTTTTTCGAAGTTCCTTTTTAAAGAGCGTTACTTTGCTTTCCGTTGCGTGTTTGCAGAGCATTTGCAAACGAAACAACGCAGTTTTTGGCACCATACGAAGCGTCGGTAAAGTCACGTTCGGAGGACGATACATCTCCGGAAGTTGTAACCGATATAAGGCCTTGTTTAGGAACTAGTGCTTCGCATGTACGTATTGTAAGTACACGAAACGCACGGAATTATATTTTATTTTGCCCACTAGAGGAGAGGTCACACCATTTGCAGAGTTAAACATTTTAAGCGTATTTTCCTTTCGCGTGTTCTACTTTTTTTCTAATGACCATGGACACGAATGGGTTCTCTAAATTTTCAATGATAAAATGAAAAATGATAGAATGATACATACTTATGTTCATCAACTAAATTTGTTTTCGACTGTGGATAAAAGCTTACTAAAATTGTGATCATTCGTAGAGCAGTTTATCGTTTCTTTCATTCATTTTCACATCGTGCACACTTTTATTATTCGTTTTTCTTATTCGATATTCGCATAACTAACATATTAAATTTAAAATTATTTTAAACTAATATATACATACATACATACATACGTACAGTTCTATTTTGCGTGCGAATACAAATGTACAAACGTTTTCTATATATACATATACATATATATATATACGTTCACGTATATGCATAATACAAAATACAACTTTAAATTAGGGTGAACTTTCGAGTATAATAACCACAGAGGGAAGATCGTTGAGCGCCGATGTTGCAGCCTGGAATCCTTTTGAAGATGTACAGCCATTCGATCAATTAACGGCGGAAGATCACATTTTCGGTGCAGAGTTTGATAAAATTCGAAGAGGCAGTAATACAAGTATCAGTGGAGTTAAGAGTCGCGAAAGCCTCGTTATGACGTGTACCGAACTACCGGATGACCCATTCGAGTCCGCACCTTTCAGTCTGCCAAGTAAGTTGTTCGAGCGAGCCGATCGAATGTTGTTCGTACGGACTGTGGGATTGGCATTGAAATGAAATTTTTCTTGATTTTAGGAGGAAAGAAGAACAAGATTGGATCAAAGACTGTCGCTCTTGCTGGAGGTAATGCATAGACTTGTTCGTATATTGTTCCTTATTCTATTTTTCATCTTGTACTTGACGAAGCTGTGTACAATCTTTGATAGTCAAGGAGTGAAACTCAACCGTGTGATCAATATTTTCAATATTATGTTACATGATTGCGTTAGGGCACGGTACGTTCAGTTTAAACTGACTTTTCTTAACGACGACTTTCGTCTAAAGTAACAAGCCTATCTTCAACTAACGAACCCGTTGTATATGGCATAAATATATATACTTTCTAATGTGTTGTATAGACAGTTGGTTTGATTCGTGCTTTTCTTGCGTTTTTAACGCAAATGCACAACAGAGGTTCAATTGGGTTACAACATTCTGCTGGTCATGTAACGTGTCATTCTATTCCACCAGTGAACAATCCTAGTCTGGCTAACATTTGTTTTTGTTAATCGTACAGAAAGTGCGGGAATTTGCTAGACGGTATGTATCGACATCGATCGACATTATCGTTATAAAAGCGAAAACATCGACTACGGAAATGTTTACCCTGATATAATATGTAAAACATGCGGGAATAAAATTTAACTTGCATATATTATAAATGGTATTATAATGTCGTGAAATCGTATATATTCTTCATCGTTCTCTCTTATTTCTTATTCATTTGTTCGTGTGTATATACATTCTGTCT